ATACACTATAATATATAATAATATTAGAATTATAAGATTATATTATAATTATAATATCATATTATTATAATAATTATAATATTATTATAATATCTTAGTATATGATAAAATAATATAAGTGCAGTTAAATTCTTTTTCTGTTAATTGAACACCATTATAAGTGCAGTTAAATTAAGAATATTGTAAATTTTAAATTTCATTAGGGGTATTATGGGTATTATGAAAGTTTCATTAATTGTACTATATCAATTTTCGCACAATGTTATGAAAGTTTCATTAATTGTACTATGTCGATTCCCACACAATCTAAAAGCTAAAGTTGTCTTTAGGCTGCTTCTGATTTTGGCTGTAGATTCTTGAAAAATTCTTTAAAAAGTACTTTTGAGGAGATTTATCAAACACTAAAATCAGCTTATGCTTGTAGCATAAGCTGATTTTGGGAGGGAAAAGCAATACCAAACTAAGCCCACGTCAGTTAGCTCAAACGGTATGTCTAAATCGGCTAATTAATTACTAAGGGCTTGTTCTTTTGCAACAAAATTCAGAAAAAGTTTAAACTCAAGTTACAATTTTATTCAAGTTCATGTTCTTTTAAGTTCCAACTTTATTCAAATTATAACTTTAACTTAAGTTATAACTCAAATTCAACTTAAAAACTACACTCAAATTACACTCCAAAATAACAGGCTCTAAGTTTTCTGGAGATTGGAAACTCTATGGAATCTTTCTTCTGTTTAAAGTATTCATGATGTGGGGGCATTATATATACCAAGCTTTGGACACACACTTGGGCTTTCTGAATAAGAGCCTTTCTATCTGTCCCTTAGCAGAAAGTTGAGGAAAGTAATCAGTAACTTACTAGATTGCTTTCCTCTCTTTTTTTTTTTTTTTCCTTTCTCAACTTCTTTTTTATGTTGTGCTTTTCTTTTCCTGAAAACTTAGCCGTTCAAGCTGGACTTTTTTAGTTTTCATACTCTTTTGTTAAAAGGTTTTTCCAAGTCTCAAGTTTATTCCTTCCCATGTCCCAACGTTTTAAACTTTTTAGGGCTGTTCATGAAGCGTTGGGTCAATGAAGACCAAATAAGAAAATTTTCGGGACCATATATCAAATGTCACAAATTGATCACGTGGGATCGCACATTGTAGTTTTTTTTGTTTCATAGTGAGTACAAAAGCATAGATAATTACATTGACAGAATCTTGCAGAAGAGTAAATTAGTGATTAGATTAGATATCAGCTTTGATGCCTTGTTTTCAATCATTATAATCATCATGATCATGAAATTGCAGTATCTTCAAAAGTACGTTTAGCTATATTTGAACTTAAGACAACAATTTTACTATGATGGGAAGAAGTTTGTTAAGATAAAAGAAATAAAATAAATGGGCGAATTTTCAATCTGAAGTAAGCCGATCAAGAAAAGTGGTTTTATTGATGTTGTTAATCCATCATTTCTCCCTATGTTGCTTTAACAACATATGAAGCATAGTTTAAGCACCATTTAACCAAAGATAAAGAAACATGATATATAGTCATATAGAACGTGAATTTCTAACAAGTAATACAGGCCAACAAGTATTGTAGTGTACTACTCATCGAAAGCAGTTAATAATGGCCCGTTTGGTGTGTAAGATATGAGACCATTGAATAAGATAGTCTTAGTGGGTTGGATTGGATTGTATAAAAAAGTATACGATTAAATTTTAGTTTAATACAATCACATATTTGGTGTTGAGTTATTAGGATAAGGACGTTTTGTAAAAAAATTTGAACTTTGGTATCAAATTTTAATTTTTTAAAACTTGAGGGGTAAAAATATAATTTTCAATAAATATTTAACTCAACATTAAAATTGCATTTTTGACCCCTTAATTTTAAAAAATTACAGTTAGGCCCTAGATTTTATAAAAGTTTGTAAATAGATTACTAATTTTTTCACAATGTGCTCTAGTTAAAAGTTTGTTTATTCTCATGCTCTAACAGCGGATAACCACATTTTTGAGCTTCTCAGGTTTTCGTCACTTTGATGGATCCTGTTCAATGATCAACATCTGTAATAAATTTTGCCTAGTACTGTAGTACATGCTTACAGCTCTCTCTCTAGTCTAGCTAATTTAGATTCAAGTAATTCCAACACTTCGATCTCGCAACTTCCAAGCAAAAAAAGCAACGAACAATAACCCCCTAGCTCGACCTCTTACTGTCGATGGCTTCCTTGAGTTTTCTACCAAGTGCACATGCCAGAGGTGGAGGAACTGCATTCCCAATCTGCCTGTGCTTGTGAAGAATGTTACCAGAAAATTGGTAGCTATCAGGGAAACCCTGCATCATAAATTTTTAAAACACAAGTTTTAATAATAAGTTGCATTTAATGAGACAAACGGAGACAGACATTTTTCTTCCAACATTATCACTCATAAAACAGAGTAATTTTCATCTAATCACAGCACTTACTTGAGATCTAGCGCATTCTCGAACAGTAAGAATCCGGTCCTGTTCAGGGTGAAAGCACATTCCCACCTTACCCATTGGTTGAGGATCTGTGATTGAAGTCGGAAAATTCCCATCCCAGTCCAACCTTCCAAACAGACCCTTCCACTGGTTGTGGCGCTTGGCAGTGTTTGGTAAACACCATGGTATCAGATCAACCACTTGACCAGTGGACAGTTTCACCTACATTTTAATTTGAATTTGTAAATTAACATCATAGATAAAAATAATTGCATTTCGCAGCAAGCAATAGCTAAATAAGAAAATCATATTACACAAATATTGTTTGCACCTTTTCATCCGGAAGGTCATGCCAATCGGCACCAGCTCGCTTAGGAATCTTCTGACATCGAATTAGATTCAACTCATTCATTTCCTTTGATATGTGGTCGATCAAAACTGCCATATTCCCTCTAGTTTTCTTTTGAAACCATGAGACGGGATCACCTTGATACTGTACAAAACAAAAGTCAGAAATGTTTTATATACACTTCCAATCTTAAAAAGGAAAATCACGACAATATTATTTATAAATACCTCTAAATTGGTCTTGGAGGCTCCATTTCCTACAGCTGGAAGATCCCCAATTGTATCTCTCACAGTAATAGCTCGGAAAGGAGCTCCATTTGCAGTGCTCCTAGCAGCAGCATATTGCGAGTTTCTAGATAAAGTGATCTTCAATTCTGGGGCCGCAAAAACATGCATTGGCTCTGGCCATTCTGGAAGTACCTCTTCCGGGGAGGCTGCCCAAATAAATGCTCGCTTTCTAGACTGAGAAACACCGAAGGCTCCGGCTTCCAGAATACCGAATCTCACCTACATAACCACTTAACTAAATCAGCAGTCGCACTTGTAAATTCTCTTCTCACAAACATGCCCACAAGCCCCGATAAAAATGTCCTTACAATTTAAAACAAACACTTGCATAACAAGACAATGCACCAGTGATTTGAAATTTTGAACGTTATAAATACATGCAGATAAATATGAAAACAATTGCAATTCCATTATAAGCAGAGATGCAATACCTACCTGGTAACCCATCTCAAGCAGAGATGCAAGAGTCAAACGAAATGTTTGCCCCTTGTTAAAGGAAATGAAGTTCCTCACGTTCTCTAAGAGAAAATACTTGGGGCGGAAGTAGTCTGCGAAGGATAAGAATGCTAAGATCATTTCACACTGAACCTTACTCCAAGTGCCTTGGTTGAACCTATTCATCCCAGAAAATCCCTGAAAAACGTTTAGTTTTCTCCATTAGTTATTAGCCCATTAGTGTGTCAAGAATCACAGCTGAGGGTTGCATGAAAAAGGACCAAAATCTGTACACACCTGACATGGTGGTCCTCCATTAATGAAATCCACTTGCCCTGGTAGTGGCAAATCATTAGTTACCTTCTCGTCCAGCTTTGCAGCTAAGTCAGCCGCTTCAGAGGTTGAGATACAATCATCGGCATCCCCACACTTCTCCATCACAGCCCTGCATTACAAATTTAGAAGTTAAAACAAATTAACAAGATGTTTGCAAGCTGGAGGGGATATAGCTGGTTTCATAGTCTACCTTAAAATCACGTTGCAGTTATTAATGAAGACCATTGACTCTGGATGGTTGAGTTTAAATGCATCTCCAGCTGGTTCTTCATACTCTATCGCCCACTTCGTTTTTGAAGCACCTGTATCAAGCAGGGAATAGGTGATCATCATGAGCAACTGCCAACTGCTACAAAAATAAAAAAGACAACATGCTGAAAGAGATAATCAAACAGAAGAGACTTACCATACTGATGCAAACCCTCTGACAAGCCACCACAACCGGCAAAAATGTCTAATGTAACCAAACATTTCTGCTGAGATGCTTCTCTTTGCTTTTCAATCTCTAAATCATCTTCTCCCTCTTTACTCTTGCCCTTCTTCTTTCTAGCTGCAGCTTCATTATCCGAGTTTCCGGTTGAGTACCTTAGTTTGATGTTTGCAGGCAACTGTCCAAAGGGCCAAAAAAAATTCATGTAAGCAAATACTATATGTATGTATAAGTAACGCCTGTTACGTGAAAACTACCTGCTTGAGCGACCCCTTGTCTGGATCATACATATGTTCACAGAAGAAAATATGCTCAAATATGGAAGGAGCATTGCACACTGGTGGAACATCATTCTTCTTTCTGACTTCGCATTTCCCTTCTATACTATGAACAGGAAAAATATCTGATACTTCACTATAGTACACCTGAATAGTTAAGTGATAGGAATCTCTAGTAAGTTAAGGCTTATGAGCAATTAAAAACACGTAGTAGAAGCATATTCAAATTACAAGAAACTCAACAAAACAATTGGAACTGAGAAGCTTTGCTAGTGGGCAAAGTTTTAGCAGCATTTACCATCCGAATATCAGAAGCGTATGCCTTTTCAATTGATATATCCTCTGGCCTGTAAAATCTTCTCATCTTAACCTCTGTAGATTTAATATCAGCTTGTTTGGTTTCTTTTTTGACAATTACCTCGAGTATTTGGCACACAACAAAAGGTTTTAGACCCACATTCCTTCCCGCTTTGAACTTTTCATTTTCCACCCTATCCTCGGCAAAATGACAAGGGCTTACATACACATAATCATGAACAGAATAGTCGGTTCCATTGTAGACAAAACCAGTTTTAGAGGAATTCACTTTGAAAACTTCCTTTTCCTTCTGGACCTCCTTTGTTCTGCAGGAGTGGCAGAAACCAGATCCTAAGCCAATAATATCATGAGAGAGACTAAAAAAAGCACCTTTCTCAGGCCAATACAAGCTTTTGCAGTAATACTCCACAGGCAATCCTTTCTTCTTCCTCTCTTCAGCTCTTGCTCTGTCAATTTTGTCAGCATTTGCATTATCCTTCCTATGCTCATGACCCCATGGCTTTAACCTGATATCCACGACAACATTCTGTGTAATTGCCTTCAATCCCATGTCTAAGCATTCATTTGTCAAGAACACCTCCCTCTCATTAGCAGCATTGCCGAGAACCGTCTGAGATCCTCGCTGCATCATTCTTCCATGCAACATTTTGCTACCATCTGATGCCTCAAACATGTACTCCACAAAATATATGGCTGGTGATTTATCTGATTCTTCAAATTCCACCAAAACGGCACCTCCCACAACAACTTCATCACCACGAATAATAGCCCGTTTGTAAAGATGCTCTCCAGAACTTGTTATGCCCACAGGCTGCCCATCCCATCTTATGATTTCACTCTCAACAGAGCATGATCTGGTGGTCTTTTTCAAAACAGCACAAGGCTTCTCTTCTCTCTCCAAGCCTTCTAAGTTCTCTTCAACTTCTTCATCCTCATTTTCCTCTTGCTCCTCAGCTTCTTCCTCTTCTTTAGTTTCATTGTTTGATTCCTCAGGAGAGTAATTGGAGTAGTACTCCCCCCAAATTCTGTTGATCAGTCGTGTCGTCGTCGCTTGCATAGCCTTCCTCTGTGATGCCACAGGTGCCATAGCTGCTCTGGGATTCAAATTATGTTCACTCTTCTGCTGCACCATCTTTTTCTTCTTAACCAACCATTTAGTGTGGTGTCTCTCCTCCATTTTGTTTGCAAGGCGGACCACAAATGAACACTTTTTAATCTTTTCATCCGGGAATTCAGCAAACAACTGCAGTATAATCTGCCCGTGCACCACCACATATCTCTCAACAGTTGCTGGATCAGACGAAATGTAAGCACGGTCATCTTTCTTAAACTCAGATAACTTCTTAATGACATCTGCAAACGAAAGCCGTGATACCCGAATTTGCTCCTTCAACAAAGTAATAATACTTATACCAAGCTTAGCAGTCTTCAGAACTGTTTCGTACCACGGGGCATATTGTTTTGACGGCTTTCCAAGTCTATACCTAGAAGAAAGAAAAAGAAAAAAAAAATTACTTAGGAACTTTGAAATTAACCATATTCCATATCATTCAGCATAAAGCATCCTAATTGTGAACTTGAACAAAATGAGAAAAGCAAAAACGTACCATGCCATATCAGTTCGGATAGAAATGAAGATCATTGAGGACCCAAATTCAATCATCCACTCTTTAATAGCACTCAAATAGATTGGCATCCCATCAACAGTCTCTGCTCCCGAGCCCCTTGAAGAATGATCATCAAGGCAGAATCCGCTCCCATCATCCGCAGTCATAACACCCGATCCGTAGATAGTGACATCCATATCTGCACAAGGCTTCATGGGAAGAAGCTCCAGCGATACCAATCTCAAGTCTGAATTATAAAGAGACCAATTATGAAGCATGCTTCGAGGGAGCTCATCAGGATAGCACACATCCATATCACTGTCAAATACTATGAATTCATCAGTTTCTTCAGCTGAATTCTTGTAATAAGCAGGAAGAGGATAGTCATTCACGATTTCATCCTCATTAATTTTGACATAGTACTTGCTCAAACCCGAGGAGGATAAATCCCGGCTCTTTTTCTGTTTCATTGACTGCCAATACTCTTCTTCTTGCAACAGCCTTGCCAACTTGACATCCTCATCCTCCTCTGCCATACCAGAAGTTTTCACTTTGGTATCCGGATCACCAATCTTTAATGTCCCGCTAACTGAAGATGAAATTATTCCCCCTTGGCGCTCTCTGCACTCATCTCTTAAGGCAACAAGAACAGGCAAGTTGGCAAACATGCGATCACTCTTCTTTGACGTTTCATCCAATCCCATCAACTGATTATATATAAACTCACCCTGGGAAACAACAAAGTCCTTGACAGAAGCCCCGCCAGCAAAGCACTTGCTAGCATTGGCACGGGCAACACCAGCCAGCAACTCATCAAGGCATAGGGAGGAGTTGGTTTCCCCTCCAATTCCAAAACACTTGGAGGCTTGTTTGTAAACCTGCACACAAGCATTCGCCTTTTCGAAGAAAAGGTCATAGAATTTCTTGTAACTAGCAGCCGGTTTCAGGCAATGGTAATCGGCTGCTTCAGTGGACAGCCATACGACAGGGACTCCATCCTCATAACCAGAGATGTCCCACGTCTCAATCCGCCCAAAACCTTCGCACCTCACACCCCGTTCCTTGTCCTTGTCAGCGGATTCCTCGAGAGGCAGTACAAGCCCAGAAATGAACATGTCATCAAATTCTAACATCTCGAGGGGCCGCGAAACACCGTGCTCGTCATGGATGATGAAATCAGAGAGTCTTCTGTTGGGGCGGGATTCATCAGTTTGGTCATTTTGGGGACAAGTGAGACGCAGGGCAAGGATCTCTTCCTCTACAACCAGGCTTTCCTTGATGGAACTTAGGGAGGATTTCTCCGATAATGGGACCGCCTTCTCTTTGAAGTCCATGCATGCCGCCGCCCGCCGGGGCATTTTGCGAGTCGCCCCAGAAACCTCGGACTCGGTCTGAATCTGATCCTGATTGCAATTGCTACCACTACGCTTTTTCCCTTTGTGATTGTTCTTGGTAGACTCATTTGTTTCTGATTTTTTGCCCTTTTTCTTGGTTCCTATTCAATCAAAACTAAAGCTATTAAATTGATTGCATTAACATAATGGAGAAAGATAAAATTGCAGTTTCTAGAGAGATAAAACTCAAGCAATTGAAGAAATTGAAGAGAGAGAGAGTGAGAATATTGTGCATACCGATCTGATTAGGAAGAGCGGCGGAATCCAAAAGCTCTACAGATCCCATTATTTTCCCTTCAATTGAATCGATTGTTCTTGCTTGCGCCAACAAAGAAGAGAAATAGGGTTTGAGAAAACCCTAGCTGAGAAGTTGAAATGAATTCGAAAAGAGCTTTTAATAGTATGGAAAGGAAGGAAGTGAAATTGGGGAAGCGCGGTTTATTTTATTTTAATTTTTCATTTTGGAAATTTGGAAATGGAAGAGACGCTTGCTCTTACGAGCTGGGCGCCAAAATCCACTAAAAATGCTGCTCAATTCAATTATTCAAAGCGCGCCATCTTCAAAGTACAAACAAATTCACCGTTTGCTTTTCTTTTTTTTTTTAGTTTGAATCCTAACTTGATGCCAAAACAATGCTAAAAGACACTCGTTATGTTCCGCATTGCACGCGTACTAATAAATAATGAATTTTTATAGATACATTTGAAAATTCGTTTTAAAATAATTTTATTTTTTTTTATAAAAATAAAAATAAAAATATTTTTAATCTCATATAAAAATTATTTTTAAAAATATGTTTAGTAGTTTTATTAAGAGATTATTTTGAGTGTAAAAAAACTTATTAATGTATCTCTTTTTCTCTCTCTGCTCAAGAGATGAGAAAATAAAAATAAAAAATGAAAAACGACTAAAAGTCATTTTTCATTTCTCTCTCATTTTACACTAAACTAAAAAAAAAATTTATTTATTTTTATTGCGCTAAATACCGTTTTGAAAACGTTTTCATTTTTTCTTTTTTAGAAAACGTGAAAAATAAAAACGTGATGAATTCCAAACACGGTTTATATTTGGGACATATGGGTTTATTTTCTATTAATTATAGTGTTTAACGACTAATAACGTTTTAAATATTTTCATTTTGTTAAATATTGGATTCAATCCTATACATTATTAGTTGAAAAGCGCGTGCTACAAACGTGTCGTGTGCATACTTAATTTCTTAAATTCTTACCCGTCTTTAAATATATTTTTCTTAATAAAATGTTGGATTCAAATTTATGTATTTATTAGTTGAAAAGTGTGTGCTATAAACACGTCGCATGCGTATTTAGTTTCTTAATTTTTTTTATAAAAAAAAATGTATGAACTTTTTTAAAAATTTATTTATTAATTGTTAATTTATTCAAGTTTCAGATATTATAGAAAAATATTTAAGTATAACATATTTAAAGAAAAATTAGTGACATAAAATTAAGTAATAAATTATGTAAGAGATCGAGATAGTATTTGTAAGAAGAGAGGAAAGAGATGAAACATATTTGAGAAAATTTATGTTTGCAAAGCGATTAAAAAAAGTGGAGTCTACTGCGTATATATAACAACATGGATGGTTGGAAAGAGAGAGAGAAAGAGGGAACTAAAAGAATGTATATAAAAAAAGAAAATAAAGAAACGCGAAAATAAAAAATAATAATGATAATAAAGAGAGGAAGGACAATAAAGAAAATCAAAAAACAATAAATGACATAAAAATTTAAAAAATGAGATTTTTTCTTGTGTTTTCTCTATTTTAAAACAATAATGTTTCTTATTTATTAGTTATTAAATATGTATTAAATTTTTTAATTTAATTTAACTTTTAATCAGATTTAATATAAATTTAACAACTCATAAATAGAGACATAAAAATTTAAAAAATGAGATTTTTTCTTGTGTTTTCTCTATTTTAAAACAATAATATTTCTTATTTATTAGTTATTAAATATGTATTAAATTTTTTAATTTAATTTAACTTTTAATCAGATTTAATATAAATTTAACAACTCATAAATAGAGAACATCAATATTTAAAAAAAAAAAGATAATACTAAAAAAATTAGAGTTAAAGAATATAAAAGGAGCACTTTCAACTAAAATAAAGTTGTTTTAGTCGACAGTGGACACGCTTCTATATATGTGTAGATATTATTTTAATATGGACAAATCTGAAAAAAAAAAAAAAAAAAAAAAGCTAAAAAAAAAAAAAAAGGAAAAAAAAAAAAAAAAGAGGACCTAAAAACAAATACAAGGGAGGAAAAAAAAGGGAATCAAAAGAAAAAGAGAACGAAACGTTTTCTTCTCTTTCC